CCAAAGTCTAATAGCATGTACTATTGCAAGTAATTCTTTTTCATGAACCAGATAATTTTGTTTTACTGGTGAAAGTTTTCTTGATTCAAAAGCAATTGGTTGATTACCCTTGTCTTGATTTTGACTTAACACAGCTTCTATGATGAAATCTGAAATATCTGTGATGACTGTGAATGGTAGTTTTAGATCAGGCAATAATAAGACTGATACTGAGATGAGATATTATTTTAATTATTTAAAAGCTTGTTACGCTATTATAAACTATTCATACTCTTGATCTTTGTGTAGGAGTACTATGAATAGTGATGCAATTACTGAGAAGTCTTTTATAAATTTTCTATAATAACTTGCAAGTTCTAGAAATGAGCAAAATTCTAATATATTTGTCGATACTGGCCAATCTCTAATAGCAACAATTTTTCTTTGATTAATAGAAATACTATCTGCTAAGATGAAGTATTCAAGATATTCTACATACTGCTAAATAATATCACATTTCTTTCACTTGGCATATAGTTTGTGTTTGCAAAGTATTTCTAAAACAGTCTGAAGATATTGAATATGCTCTTTCTTGTTTTTACTGTATATTAAGATATCATCTAGATATATGATTACAAATTTATCAAGATAATCATGAAATATATTATTTATAAGCATCATGAAGGTGACTGGTGTATTGGTAAGACCAAAGAGTAGGATCAAGAACTCATAGTATCTATAGTGAGTTTTAAATGCTATCTTATAAATATCTTCTTCTGCAATGTGAATTTGATGATAATCTGAATACAAATCTAGTTTTGAAAAGTATTTTGAATCTGTAAGTCTATTCATCAACTCATCAACTCTGGGTAAAGGATAATGATTCTTAATGATAATTTTATTTAAAGTTCTATAGTCAATACATAATCTTAATATATCTTCTTCTTATATACAAAAAGAACTGGTGCTTCAAAGGATGAGATACTTGGATGAATAAAATCTTTTTGTATCAAATCAGCTAATTATTTCTTAAGCTCATCTATCTCTATGAAAAAAAGCCTATAGGTAGATCTGGATGGTGATTCAGATCCTGGAATAAGATCAATTTTATGATTAATTACTCTCTTGAGTGATAGCTAATTTGGTAAGATTTCTAAAAATACATCTTGGAATTTTCTTTTAATATCTAATACTTCTGGTAAAAGTAACTTCTCTTTTACTTCTTTCTTATTTTTAATATTATTGAGATATATGGTAAAGAACTTTATATCTGCTAATAGATTTGCAATTTATTATCTTGAAATATATATTAAATTGCAACTTGAGCCTGACTTAACTTCATTGTCAGCTTGTATTTTTATTGTCTTAGAACTATAGGTAAAGGTTATGATATTATTTCTCCAGTCTATGATGAAATTGATGTGAAATAATCAAGATTTACCTAGAATAAGATCATATCTTTACAATTTCAATACCTGTGCATCCATCTTATGTATTCTATAAGTATCTAACTTAAGCTCATCAATTTTTGTCATGATGATAGCTGTTATCTTTTTGCCATCTGCGAGTTCAACTATAACTAATATAGTCTTTTATAATTTGACTTTGTTTTTTTATATAAATTTCTTATCTACAAAATTTCTAGATGTACCATTGTCTAGCAATACCTATGCTGATTTGCCATTTACTTGGCCATTAAATTTTAATAATCTTTCTCTATTATCTTTTAAATGAGCAAACTCAACTCTTTTATATAATGATGATAAAGATTCTTCTTATTTGTCTTCAATATTTGTAATTTTGGCCTTTGATTTTGAATAATAATTTTTTGTGAAGTGGTCTGATTTGTCATAATTATAATATGTATCTTTAGGCTTATTATTCTTCTGGTTATTATTATTTCTTTTATTATTATAGTGACTTTCTGCCTGGTCAAGTTTTATTGGTATTAGATCATTATTTTGATGACTTCTGTGCTGATTTTGAGAGCGATGACTATTATTATTTCTACTTGGTAGATCTAGAGGTCTGTCTTGCCCATACATTGCTATGTCATAGCAAATAGCTAACTTCCAAGCATCTTCTAAGATTTCTGGTGCCTGATAACTTATCTCTATCTTTGTAGCTAGTTTTAGATCTTCTATGAAATATGTGACCTGGTCTAAAGCACTCATGTCTGTGATTTGTCTAACTATATTTCTAAACTTTATGCTATAGTCTTGTATAGATCTTGTTTGATGAAAAAGATAAAGTTATCTACAGAGATGTTATTAATAATATGATGATTGAAAGACTTCTCTTAATATTGTAATAAAGACTTGACAATTTTCAAAAGATTTAACATTATCATCTATCTTTACTTTGTTGAGATACTAATATAAAGTTGCATCAGTTAAGAAAGTAGCAGTATATTATATTTGAGTTTTCTCATCTGTAATTCCTTGGATCTGGAATATTATTTTAACTTGCATGATTCAGACTAAAGATGGCTCCTCAACTAATTGCGGCTTGCGGCAGCTAATCAGAGAATTACGACAGAGTTACGGCAGCCAATCAGAGAATTGCGACAGAGTTGCGGCTAGTTGCGGCTCCCATCTCTAGTCATGATAAAAGAGATATCTAAAAACCAAATGTTATAAATTCATAACTAAAAAAAAAGAAAAAATATGCTTATATATCTGTGATACCTGTGGTCAATCAGAATATAATAATATGACATATCAAAATTACTAAGATATTTACTCATTTTTTATTTATTAATTCTCTATTTAACTATAAAACTCACAAATTACATATTCAGATCATCATAATATATTAATCCTAACCTAATCATTTTAAGTACATGATTATTACATTTTACTCAATAAAAATCACTATGTATCATATTTTTTAATAACTAATCAAATAAAAATTTTGAAATTTCTGGATCTAGCTGAACTAATTTTCCAAGGTTATTTCTGGAACAGGATGTTTCAATTAGATTCATCCTTTATTAATAAATTTAGTCTCTGAGTCATTACTTTTAATTATTACTATATATAATTTGATATAATCTTATAAAATTATAAATTAATTATTTTTTTGTTATTATTATAATAATATTTTCAATAGTTATTTTTAGATTAGTAATTTTTTATTTTTAAATTACAAAAAGTTTATATTATAAAATTATCTAGCTTATTTTTATAATTTTAATCTTTAATAATCTAATATAATTATATTTTTTCAGAATATATTTTCAGAAAAAACAAATAATTATATAATAATCAAATTTTTTATATTTTATAATAATTAAAAATAGAAAAATTATAATTATATAAAGAGTATAATTATATAAAAATATAATTATATTTTTGACTTTAATATTATTAAAAATATCTATATAACTTTTTTTCTATTAATATTAATAATAAGTATTTACAAAGATATTTCTTGATTAGATAGAATAAACTAATAAATATAATGATTTATATAAAATTTTATAAAATAATAATTGATTGATACATGATTTTTAAATAATAAAACAAATCAAATTACAAGATAATAAATTTTGAATAGAGTCAAAATTATATTAAATATAAATAATCTTTCACTTTTATTTTATCATATTACTTTTTCATTTTTATTCTAAATTCTAATTTTGAAAAATCAATTTGGGCTACATAATTTAATTGAATATTATTTCCAGCATAACTTTCTTAGAAAAAGCTGAATAATTATCATTAGATGCAGCAAAATGGCTAATTGCTAAAATTTTGTTGTTCAAATAGAAATACATGATAGATCTCTAGAGGAACTTGTTTCTCCTAAATTCACTGAATTATTAGAAATCACCATTAGGAATCTTGAGTTTCTCTAAAGATTCACCAAAAAACGAGCCATTAGAGTGCCAGTCTCTATCGGTAATGTTGAGTACGCTGCTATATTGGTAGTTGGTTTATAATTAACGTTTATTGAAGCTTGTTTCAATACGTTAAGAGGAAATATAATTGTTAAACTATATCTTTTTATTTTTTATTCATATATTCCCCAAAGAATTTGGTTTATATTTATTTGCATAAATAACCTAGATTTATTTACTATTGTAAAATTCAATTTCTTAAACAAAACGTGCAAAATCTGAAAGTTCAAAGACAAATCACAAGTGAGGTGACAGCGTACATATATTGTTTCAAATGTACGTGTATTATAATGAACATTGCAATCCTTATCACAAAGAAATTGGTGTACATTCAAACATCCACATCGGGATATCATGTGTATATCTGGCCATTACCCTTTTTTTATACGCCGGAGGAATTTCACCGTGATTTTATTAGAAAGAAATTTTCGACCCAAGGTCTCGGGAACCATGAGCATTTACCATTATAATCGCAAAATGGACATTTTAGATAATACGAACATTTTTCCGAGATTGTCCGATTTAATACATTATTTTTATTAATCAATGATAGGCTCTCGAATTGACGTAAATCATAATGTGGAAGATAACGATAATATAACAAAGAAGAATGTCAAATCAAAAGTTTAAGAGAATATCTTGTCTGTTATTTTAATAGCGTGGTTTTAATATGTTATTAAATGAAGGAGAATAAAAATATAAAAAGCGCGTTGATTTCCTAAATAAAGACTTAGGGTTAATGAATTATATTTTTTTATCATTGTGCACATTCTTTAAACAAAACACACATTCCTTTCAAAATCAGTGAAATACCGTTGAATTTCTTTGTCGTGGTGCAAAGAATCTACATTCTTAATTTGGTGGTGAAAAACTTGTAAATTAATTACGACAAGCTATTTTTGTAATTAACTTTTTTTGCGATTTTCAACTTTTTTAAAGAATTTAATTAAAGCTAAACAATATTTTATAAAAAAAATATAAAAATATAACAAATGAAAAATGAAAAACAAGAATCTTCACGTTAAATTCTATTTCCTTTATTAGTAGCAACTTTCACCCTATTTCTTTCTAACCAAATTCACTCGTTTTTAATCCGATTCATCAAAGACTTCAAAAAAATTTAAATGGAGATTGCCGTTTCCAAAACTAAAATTGGTGACACGACAACCGATAAAACCGAAAGACACTTCTCAAAAGCTTTAGTAATTATCGCGTCACTAGTATAATTTCTCTTGAGCTCATATTCAATCTTGAAGGAATTTTCTTTATAGAACACGTGTTTTCCATCGCGTAGCGGTTCTTTACATTCCTCAGTACGTAATGTTATGTTTTCGTTATTGTTAGGTTCTGCGACGTTATTATTAATAATACCCTTTCGCATTATAACAGGCGTTTTCCTTCTCACCACCAGAAAAAGTTTGGTTTTTTTGTTTACACGCGAGAAATGCTGACTCTGCTGACACCGAAGCATCATTTCACCCGTCTCCTTATCGTACCCGGTAATGTGGACACGAATGGAATCCGAATATTTCACCTTGCTCTCGGTAATTTGGCAGGTGTACAGTTGCACGGAGGTTGGCGAAGAATGAGTCAACCGATATTTTACTTTTTCGTAGAGGACTTGATGGATGACGTATTTCCATTGACGACTAACTCGACGTAACGACCATAATTTACGCGCTGAATTGTCATTACTTAGTTTATGAATGACCATTGATAAAATTTCATTTGGAAATTCGTTTATTGTCAGCTTTTTACATTTCTTGTTATTCTCATTATTATTATTGTGGTCATTTGTAATAGAATTAGTCGTAGTTGGTAATAAACATTTATTTTTCGAGTCGGAGTCAATAGAATCCTTCTGAGAATTCTCTGATCTTTCGTCATTGACCACGAGATCATTTGACTCATAACTACCATTTTCATGAATAGACATCCCCGTGAAAGAACACGCCATAGATTCGATTAGAGTTTTCTTTGCTGTCATGGTATTCTGTCGTGGAAAGAAGAATAAAAAAAAAGGTAAATGAAAAGGTAAATGAGGTAAAGATTTTGCGTCATTTTATTGAATTTTTTTGAACTTACTTTTATGTTGTCGTTTAATTTATCAAAGGTACAGCGCTTTAAATAATGTTTTTTATTAATAATATGTTCTTTTTAACTTTTATTAAAATCAAAAAATGGAAATAATAATGATCTATAAGATTTTACCGTATTTGGAAAAAGAACAAAAAGCTCATATGACATACAATAAAGAATTCTCATTCTATTTTTTATATTGGCTCATTATGCATACAAGTTCCGTACCATAAACTCTAATTTTGGAAGAGAAAAAATCGCTTATATATATAGGACCAGATGATGAAGTTGAACAATATAAAAAAATCATGAAGCCGGCTTTTTTCTATGTACGTACGTACGTTTCTCCTATTGAACAATTAGATGCATAACTTAAAGAAAACTTCGTATCTGTACTGGTACGCGTATCTATTTTTTTGCGTAAGCTCAAAAATTTGGAACAAATAAACATGGCTTTCCGAATTTTCTGAATATTCAAGCAACTAAAAACGTAGATTTTCAACTGTTGAATCGCATTTCTTTTAGGATGACACGCTGATTATTAACTCATCATTCAAGATAGAGTTCACTTAGGGAGTTCAAGTATCGCACGAAAGCGTTTCCTCGAAATGTCAATTTGTAACATCAATTTCTAACAAAAATATCAAGTAAACACACCAAGTGGATTCTACTTTTCACCTTGATTGTCGGCAAAGTTATGTATAAATCCCGAACAAATAAACTTTGGACAAAATTTCTGTCTCATTAATTAAATCGACATACTTGATACACATTATAAGCAATAATAACAATGTTATATACTAAGTTAACGACATTCTTGATATGACAACTTTTTCGGGACTGACGTACATATATATATATATATATATATATATGTATGAAGATTGTCACATTCGGAAGAGTATTATTTTTAATCAAATTTATCTTCTCAGATTTTATTTGCGCATAGATCAAGCGTAACGACAAAAATTTTAAGATGAAAAGTGGATTCTTCCATCGAAATATCAGGGCAGGGTTAAATATAGCACACATAATTTAATTGGAGCAAGAAACATTTATTTATAGTCAACAAATGGAACATGAAAAATTAATAAAATCCGGAAAGAAACTATAATGTCATTAACAATAGTTATTAAAACTGTGTTCAAAATAAAAAGGGGAGTTTCAAGGATTTTTTTATGTTATTGCCAAACTCGGCTAACTGATAATTACACTGTAACCAGATATGCATGTACATTGTTACCCACACCAATCAAAAGTAACGATAAACAAATCAGTTGTGCGAGTTTATAATATAGAATATGATATATAATAACGCGCGCATATTCAAGTACTCCATCATTCATTTCATTTCATTCTCCCATTTTTTCCTATCTCCTTATTAAACCTCTTCTCCCACCCCTTTCTCCCATTTTCTCTAGATTAATCATGGACCCAACCAATAATCTTAATAATGTTGGTGGGCACTTACCAGAACAAATTTACAATCAACAACAGCAACCACCACTAGCTTTTAGTGACCATCATGGTCATCAAGCAAGTAGTGGTAGCGGTATGGGTACTCCTGTAGCGAGTGTACCTTCTACTCCACAACTACAATATCAACAAACACCACAATTCCAGCAAATGGGAGGCTATCAAATTCAAATGGGTCCGCCCTCTGGCCCACCACCACCAGATTCAACATCTCCACTTGGTCCACCACCCGGTCCTCCACCACCCGACTTTGGAGAAAATAAGTTTTATCAACCGCACATGCCACCACCAGATCAAGGTAATCCTCATCCGGTTACCATCATAGTTCCACCACCCGACGAAAAAGACGAAGAAGATAATCACCAGACATTGCAGCATGTTTCACTTCTGTCACAACCATTCTTTTTTAATGGACAGCCAACATACAAAACTTACTATCTGATGTGGCTCCTCGTTTTATGCATGTTCGCAATAATAATTGGTCAGTATTTTGATCTCTCTTTTCATTTGCAACTGGTAATTATTTAATACTTAATATACATCTTCACTCTTTAATTTCTTTAGGTGTGTCCGTCAGTCTCGCTCAATATAAAAAGAAATATGACGACCTTCACACTTGTAAGTCTCCCTCATTTTAACCTGTTATCTTTTTTCATGAAATTACCCAAACTAATTATCAATTTTTTATCTCACAATAGTGGTTTGCGATGCTCTCTATCTCTATGACTCCGTGGATTACTACTCATACTGCCGTTGATTGTATAGATATACTGTCAGATCTCGATTACCGGCTATGTAATTTAATGAAATCGCGAGTTAAAGACTATTATTTCCAAGTCGTTAAATTGAACAGTGTTCAATCTAACGATGCTTATTCGTATTCTCCCGAGTTTCCATTTAATGATATTTTGAAATTTTGATTACTGATTCATCGGTATAACAAATGGGATGTATTTGTACGCGGTTGTTACCCGTTTTTATAAAATTTACACATAATCTATTATTATCTATATATACTGTATTATTAGGATTTAATTAATTTATTACTATTTTACGTTCTGTGAACGTCGAATTTGTCGAGATATCATATGTGCATATAGGATGTGTGGAAGTCTTTTCTTTCTGGAGATGAATACAATTGTTTTCTAAACAATAAAATAAACATAACCTGAGAGTGGATTACACATCAAAACTTCCTTAATAGGGTAGGTAAGTCTATTTGTCGCCGCGGAACTTGCATAACGTCACTCATTAAAAATGGTAGCCGTATAGAACTCTCGATACAATAACGTGATCGGGGGGGGGGGAAAGAGATGTTGTATCGAATAAATACATTGAAAGCTTATTAAACAATGTTGTTACTATGATGTTATCTTAAAGAATGAGCTCTCACCGGATTAACGTTAAATAAGGTTAGGATTAGTGTTTAATGTATAAGTAAAATTTTGTCTCCCCAAAATTTTATTTGTGGTCACATTAATACATGCACGGAATTTCAAAAATAATTGTACTGCATGAAAATAGAACATGTAAATAGAACAATAAATTTTTTCGTCTGATTATACATGTACATGTACATGTATTTGTACAGTACACGTCACCTAGTCCCGCAATTTTTAATTGAGATGCTAATACATGTAACATAAAACGAATACATGTATTTAGATTATTATCTATCGCTATAATCCTTTTCATTTAAAAATTAATTTTACGAAAGTTATAAGCTTTTAAAAAATTTTAATTTATTAACAATCTTTAAATTTTAGCTTAATATAAAAAAGAATAAGAAACCTAATTTAATACAGATGTTAAACTAAGTAAAGCAATTTTGGAAACATGTCTATATATTTTTTTTACCGCATGTTCATCGGAGCTCTCATTAAACCATTATGATATGTATCCATATAATGATAAGATTTATGCGTAAATTTTCTAATTGAAAATAATGTAATATTATCAAGAGTCAGATACTGTTTCTAATAATTCTTTTATATTCAGTGGAGAACAAAAAATAATTGTATACTTATGGATCAAGAAAGTATGATATGCCATCATATCAATATTGATCTCTTCACAATATATTATAACCTAAAAAAAATTAAAAGAAATAGAGATTGTTCAAAAAAATTGATAATAATACATCCAAGATTATAAATCAAAATATTTGATAAAATTCTATGAAAATCAGAAATAAATTAGTAAAAAAGTTTCTAAGTATATTATAGTTAGAGATATTTTTGCAATTTCAGTTATTATATTTTCTATTTACTTACAATCTTTATATTTAAAAATCATTTTGATATAATTAATTACAGATCTTATTTTTAAATAAAATATCATTTCAATTATTTAATAAAATAATAACTTAATATTATAAGTATAATTAGTTATAGTTATTTCAAAAAAAATTTATATATAAGATAAATTTTCTGCTAGAAAAAATTAAAATTAACTAATTTCTTAAAAGAATAAGAAATTAAAATTCAGTTATATAATATTATAAATATAGATAAAATCAAATATATATTATTAATTAGACAAGAATGAAAAAGATTTTATAATAAATTAAAATTAGTTAATTTTAATGCTTCACTTATAATAAAATTAGTCTTTATTACTTTGTAAATAGAGTAAATATTAAGTTTATATTAGAATTCTTAAGCAATAATTAATAATTTTAATAAGATAATAATTAAAATAAATAAATTATTTGATTAAGAATCTCTTTTAAAAAAATATTTTTATTATAATAAATTAATTATTTAATAATTCTAATCTTAATTTGATTAAAAATTTATATAATTTTATTAAATAAAATATAAAAAAGAGAAAATATAAAATTTAGAAAAGTTAAAAATATAAGAAATAAAAATTAATATAAGATTATGTTAAAAATTAATATGATCAATATTAAAATGTCTTGAGCTAGTTATAGATAATAAAGAGTATGAAACAAAGTATTAGAAATTAAAGTATGTACTATAGACTAGTTATAGTTAATTTTTGAGATTTTTTAAATAAAAAT